AAAGAGTAAGGTAAGGTATGTTTATTTATATAGCACATTTCAGACGCAGAGGCAATTCAAAGTGCTTTACATGATCATTAACACATAGTAGTAAGACAACAGAGAGCAACACAACATAATGGAATAGTGGATTCATAAAAACAATGCATTAAAGGTGACATGTCATGCTTTTCCGGTTATTACCCGTCCCCTTGTGTGTTATGAAGGTTTTTCTGCATGTAAACGATGTGCAGAGTCAAAACCCTTAAAGTACACCCTGTAGCGAGAAAACTCTAACACAGAAAATACCTCCCCAAAACGCCTCGTTGATGAAACGTTATCATCCATTTGATTCTTCCGGGTACGTGCTTACGAAAGCACGTACCCGGAACTAAATGGGCCAATCCGTGGAGCCGTTACGTTACGTCCGCGGAGCCGTTACGTTAAGCCCCCGCTGATTGGTCCAAATTGACCAATCCACACACACACTCAGTGCCGGCAGCTCTGCTGATTTCTCCTCCCTGGCTGCAGGCTGATAACAGACAGTTGGGATCGCGGCGAAATTCTCTCTGCAGACCCATTCTCACAGCGTTTATCAACCTATAAACCTTTTTCTTACTCAATATCAAGCCGCTTGATATTGAGTAAGAAAAAGGTTTATAGGTTGATAAACGCTGTGAGAATGGGTCTGCAGAGAGAATTTCGCCGCGATCCCAACTGTCTGTTATCAGNTGCATTCATAACCGTACAATCCTGTTGTAAGTTAATGTTATGGCCCAAAACACATTACACCACATATTGCATGCGTGCATGTGTGTGTTCAGGTTCAAGTGTTAGTGTACATATGGGAGGGGGGGGCAGAGGGAGGGGAGACCAGGTCCATGTTGCGAACAATTATTGTTACAGTTGATGTTACAGTGGGGCTGGGGTGTCTAAAGTAAAAGATGAATCTTGATTGGGCCAAAGTTGACCTCGAGTCACCCAAAACAATTCTGCTGGGTCTCCCCAGACCCGAACACCAAATTATACACTTCAAGACCTTCAGACTTGGCAAAAATGGTCAAAATCTGTAGTGTTTATACAGTATAGCTGTTGTGGAGCAGTTCTAAAAAAAACTAGAGCGTAGTTATTATATAATTTTAACTTGAAACGGGTCACGGGAGACCCGAACACAACATAAGGGTTAAGTACAGTAACAAAGTATTTGTACTCCACTACTTCCCACCTCTGCTGAAACCTCCTATAAAAGGCTCTGAGATGCCTGGGGGATGCCCACTTTCCCCTTGTGAAACCCTCTGGTTTAGATGATATGACAAACAGCATGTAGAAAATAACATAACACAAGGAAAACGCAGGGCCTCTGAAGTAGGCTAGCACTGTTGAAAAAGTGCATCAGATAGACACAGCTCTGAAATGATGTCACGCTGTCCTCAAACTCAACAGTGTGATATGTCGGTGCACTGCGGTGACTGAGGAAAGGGTTATTATTGAGTGTGTAGCATGTACCTGCTGTGTTCCCCAGCAGCCGCAGGGCCTGGGCCCGGTTGTTGTAGGCTGAGGCTCGCTGAGGCAGGATCTGGATTGCCTGGCTGAACTCTTGAAGTGCAGCTTGCAAATACCCAGCCTCTGCAGCAGAGACACCCCTCATCTCCAACTCTTTCACTTGCTTCAGCAACTCTGTGTCAAAGCCACTGTCTGGCAGAGAGAGATAAACAGGTTAAAAAAGCACTCAAACTCAATTGACAGGCACCGTGGCAAGGAGAACACAGAAACGTCACCAAGAACTCAACTTGGATTAAAATGTCATGGTTTTTTTCTAGTCACAGAATCGAATGTGTTCAAATAAATTCAATATGCAATGAAATGATAAACATAAAAAGCTGTGACATGATATGTGTAGACACACCAAGTCAGAAGCTCACGCTTACCATCATCAATTAATTCCTCCTCTTGGTTCAGGCCGGGGACGTCTCCTAAGGGGCTGGTGGGGCTGAATATAGCCTGGAGTACAGCTCTGTCATGTGCCGAGGCCATCTTTCTATTGTATGTGAAGAAAACAAAGACAGAAATCAAGACAACTGAACTACTGCTGGGAGGAGAATTCTTCCTCCCCTAACTTCAGCCATTTCCACCAGCCAATCAAAGAAGGGGGCGGAAGCAGAGGTGGACTTTGAGCTTTGCCTTCACTGAGTACATCTGTATTTGGTTAAGTCAAAAATGCAGGTCAGGCCGGCACGCTGCAGAGATGCTGTTACACTGTGGGGAAAAGGTCTCAGAGATATTCTGAAGATCTGCCAGTGCATACTCATGAAAACCTTTTTTAGCATGCTTTTCAAACCTTATTGGATTTATCAAATACCTCGTTTAAAAAAGAGATGCCCGGAGTCCCTGTACAGTTGAAGCAGGTTATATGGACAGAAAGCATACATTTATGAGACAATCAGTAACTGCTAGAGGATCTCTCATGCAAAGCCCTGGCTAATTTTGATTTAGTATTGGTTAAAGCATGGGAAGAGGTATTTCCCTGCTCTCCAAGGAGTACCAGGAACACAAAATCTCTGGTTGATTTTTTACCAACCCAGCAGTAAACCATTACAAAGCTAACTGTCATAGCATGGTAGTTGAACATTTTCCCAGTATCAAACTAATAAATGCTGCTTTTGGTTGTGAAAGTCAAACTATGTTATCTACAATACTAAGACCACATGTACATGTAAAATATCTTCGTACATTTTGTTACTTCCTATCTGGAACATAAGCCAGCGTGGCAGCTCCATCACACAGACCAATCTGGAGTGGTGGAGCTCTCTGGAACAGGCTGTGTACTGTATGGATGAACAATTTCCTCGTATTCACTGGAAAGCTCCAGTGAATGGAGCAATTAATGAGTTTCAGTCTGATAATCAGCAACAGGAATCCAATATCGTTAAAAATCCTTAACAATGGGGAACCATTACTGAGCAAGTTCAGGATGTAACTTGTGATTGCAGCCTTTCAGAGTAAGGCTGACACATCTGACACATCAGACCGCTAAGGAACACTATACATTCTACCACTGAGCTGTGCTGTTGTGACCTCCAGACAATCAAACTTTCCCAAGGGAATTGTCCATTTGCTCATCATCACCAGTATTTTTACAGCGCTGGCATCAGAGTATAACAGCTCTGTAACTATATTCTGTAATGGGAGATATCACCACGAAAATATTATGGCTAAAATCCCTCCTTATTCTATAATTGCTGACTTGAAGGTTAATGCATTTTGAAGACTTAGTATGGAAAAATCTCCTCTCATTTAGTATTTGATGGTGTCTTGTGTCCACAGTCAAATTAGAACTAAGCTCCTATATTCAAATATATGGTGCAAAAACCATTATACTTGCCTAAAAAAATACAATAAATCAAATAAGACTGTTAAGTTTTTAATTGTATAGATATACAAATGTCAAAAGAAATGGTTGCATAAAGATATTAATTTAATTATTACTACAGCATGTGCAGTGTCTCTGATGTTTCGTCTGTCTGTGAAGTACCAGATAGCTCTATCTCTCCGGGTTCAAAACATTATTCAAATGAAACTGTCTGAGGAGTACAAATCTACTTTTGGTTCAACTGTTCACATTTAATACTGTGAATAGAGTTCTCGAATAGATACTGCCGTTGCTGAAGAAGTTACAAGCCAAAACAGCACAATGCACCAAAATGACGTTTGATACTATAGTCCACATGTATGTAAATATACAGAATTTCTTCTACAGTCTTTGGGGGGCACTTTTGCGTGGTAACCTTGCTCAGACTACCATATCTTACTAGTTATGAGGAATAGTATATAGAAATTAGGATTTACAACCATAATATGCCGAACGGCTCAAAAATATATTCTGAAAGTAAAAGAGAGAGGACAGGAAAAGCATCACCAAATCAACAGAAAATCAGTGTTTACAACACATGAGTTAAGTTACAATGGTGAAAATAAGCAGTTTGGTTATTGTGGGATCTCCACGGCAACAAACACGAGTATTGAGGCCAACAAATAACGCTTGCTAAAAGAAGTGTTGCCTCATGTAACCAATGGAAGATAACAGCACCAACAGGGAAAATCTGAGAGCAGAAAAAGTAAGTGATAAGATGACAGGTAAGATTGCTAGAAAAAAGTACAATCGAACATAGAAACAGAATGGCTTGTCATAGTTCTCATTGACTTAGGAAGTAACAGCAAGTATCTCCAACAAAGTGTGTAAGTGAGTCACAGAGATGAAAACGGTTCCAGCTCAAAGCCTTTTCCAGTTGTGTCCAATTACTGTCAGCAGTGATCTGGAACAAGAAAGAGCTCATGGAGGTATGTGCTTTTGAGACCTTTAAAAGGACGAGGCAGATCTGATGTTGAAGGATAGCAGGCGGAACAAAAAGTTTGTTAAGAAAATGGTCTCAATTTGTCAAAGATTTTGATTTTGTACTTTTGCAAAATGTATTTTTTTTGTGCAGTGGGTTTTAGTTCACAGAGGGTTTGGTTCAGTTGGTACTTTGTTTAAGTTGCAGCCTTAGTGTTTTATTGAACATGGTATAAAGTTAACGTCATGTTCTTTTTCTAAAATAGTTTCAGGCCTGTAGGGCATATGCTACGGTTACAGATAAAATTCATTGCCAGTTCGTTCTTTGTAATGCCGACAATGGAGATGTGACTGATTCCTGGATGAAGGCCTGTGTGTATTTTGTATAATGACCCAGCTACAGTTTTGAGTCAGTCGTTTTTAGATATTGTATGCAAAAAGGTGTATATGCACTCTCACACTCTTTTATGTGGCTAGTTGCCTTTCAAATGCAAACAGGGTTAGATGATGGAGTGGGTGAGAAATAGATGTGACGGCATATGTTTACATTGCATTTTTAAAAGAGAGTTACAATATGTACTCACATAAGCCTGTAAAAAAAGCTTAAGGCAAGGGAAATGTTTTGGGTGTGAAGTGCAAAGTTAATTTTCTAAATGCAAATTGATGTTGGATAATTGACATTGTATTCTAAGGTGGTCAACAAGGGAAAACGTAGTACAACGTCCCAAAACACTTCCATTAGGAGAAACGCGTTGCACTTATAGAAACGATGGAAACATAAAAACACAATAGTGCCAAAACACATGCAAGTGAAGAACAATCTTCAACAACTTGACGAATCATGCGCAGCGTTTACTTTAATTGCTGCATAAACGAAACACAATTATTGCAGCATTTTTTTATTTGCAGCGTGTTTTTTATGTGCCGCTTTTAATAAACCCTGCACATGATTGTCAATTTGGCGAATGTTTACTAAAAGATGCACAAATGTTTCGTCATTTGCATGTGTTTTGGCACATTTGTTTTTTGTATATTTGCATCATGATTTCCCCTATTGGAGGTGCTTTGGGCCGTTTGCACCAGTATACACTATACAGTACAGTCTATGGTTTGCACCTGTCGGCCACCCTACACTTGTTTACTGTTCTAAAAACAACTGCATAAAAACATTTTACTTTTATGGAAAGAAAACACAGTGTGTCGGTTACAGGGGGTTCAATCACAGAGAAGCAATTAAAAATGGTTTTTCTTTGATGGTTTGCAGTTTGTAGCAATTAATGGGACTACTTTGATTACTATGCAAATATGATATACTTGAACAACCAGCAAGCTTCTGCACAACATAGTTAGACTACTAGTTTGTTCACACTGCTCCTGACACCTGTTAGTCAACTTGATGTGTAGCATAAATCGAAAGCACCTTTTACAAACGGGCTGTTTTAAACCTGTGAACAGAGACAGCCCTCCAGCTTGCTCCGTGCACGTAGCAGTGAGTGTACCTAACTCTGATGTCACTCTGATAAGTTAGGACACCTAGAGCTACTGTGTCTGCTCGTTTAATGTTTCATACAAGCCGGATGCCCACAGTCCGATTGTTCAGCTTTGAGGAGCATTTGTTGAGGAAACCATGAAGATTGTACCTGTTGAAAGGCCTTCCACCCGCCCGCCGTGGTGTTCAGAATTGGCAGCTTTGAAGCACACCTATCCTCCAAAAGGATCCCTGCTGGGTTCAAGCAGAGTAAGTGAGCTGCTTCCGCTGATATATTGTGAGTTAATATGTTGTGCAGTTTGCAGCTAATTTCGGCTATTGCTGCTTCAACGTTGCTTGCTAGCTGTTTGCATGTGCCTATTTGAGCTTACTGTTTGGCAGTGTGCAGAAGACACTGTTTTTGTGTGAAGTGGTACAGTATATGGTCACGTTTGTTTATGTTGTGTGCTCTAAAATGGTTTTGCATCTCATGTCCCTGCTGGTTGCTGCCTTTTGGTTTTAATTATTTTCTGTTCCGTGCAAATGTTTTGTTTGTTAGGTTTGTGAATGTTTTCTAAGTGCTGCGCATGCGTTGTCAAGTTGGTGAAGATGTATGCATTTGCATCATGATTTGCATGTGTTTTGGTGTTTACATAATCTTTCCCAATGTAAGCGTTTTGAGCTGCTGAAGCTACCTTTTTAGTATTCTCATGAACAAAAAACGTGCAAAATTGCTTAGCTTAAGCTAACAGTAACAGCTTCATTTTCTGTCTGTTGTAATCTTAATTTAATCATTAAAGTATTTTTTTTTCAATTGGCATATTCATTTCTTGCATCATAAGATTTAAAAGAAAATGTGGCCCAGTTGACATCCTCACATTATTGGGTAAAACTGAAAGATATTCCATTTACATTTATCTCAAAAAATTACAATTGAAAACAGCAGCATATGTGAATGTGTCACTTAAGAGAAAAATGTTGCAAGAATATTATACGTTTAATGATATTTTTATGCTAGAGCTAGACTAATGCTACTGGTTCCAAGTATCTAATTAAAAATGCTACTACTGTACCTTGGTAACCTATGGAAAAACAAACACTTAATTTAACTGTGGGGCAAACAAATCTGATCTGGACAAATTACTACAAGGTTTTTAAAAGGCACACACCTTAGAGAGTATTTGCCTGGATTATAACATTCCAGGACGATTAAAAAAAGATCTTCAGGCTTGATGTGCAGAGAGAGGTTTTATTTTTTACCACTTGAGAGAGCTCTTGCTGCTTTTATTTCTGCTGGATCTCCAGTTCCTCCCTCACCAAGTCAGCACACACAGTTTGATCCTGCAGGACTCCTATTTTCTGCAGGGTAATAAGAGTTAAAGAGTGAGGGCTAGGCTATCATGTTCACGGTCACTCAGTTAGCAGGGGATTTTCTGCCGAGGCCCAGTTTGTCCCCCATGGCCTCCCCTATAGTGCAAAAGTGGAGAAGCAATTGTGTGAGGATTATCAGTCTCCTATTACTGCAAATGTCACTGCATCAGCACCACTCAACGTCATTATGTCAATAGGGAAACACATTGGCAGTGTTTACTGACTCCAGAAGATAGAGCTGAGAGAGTGGAGCTGCACTTGCCCGCAGGCCAAAAGGGAAATTAACAGATAATCAAGAAACACTGACCCTCAGTGGTAGTACTGCTGTAAAGCCTAATAAAAACAAATAGCAGTGAACACATCCTTATTTCCTCTAAGCAATTACAAAGACAACAGATAGATAAAATCCGACTGCAACAGCAGTGTATAAATAATGAAGCAAGATTCACTTAGGTACTTATAGTAAATGGGACAACATTTCTGCTCATTAACCAACAATGGACATTTCTTTAGGGTCTTAAATCTCCTGATGGACTCTTCTAAACACACCAAAGAGAATTTCTTGTCTCTACACTTTAAATTAGCAACACAATCTAAATACAAGCAAATTATGCAATTATCTATTATTTCTTTCTTTTCGCCGTCTCTTTTCTAGATCTCCCGGTGCTTCACAGCTTGATAAAGAAACGGACTTGGATATCATAATAACCCTGAGAGGCTTTAGCTTTGCTTCACTTCTGTCTGTGAATCTGACATCAAAGCTCCTGCTCCTAATCCCCCTGCCCTTTGGAAGTAAACAGGGGCCTGTGTGTCGATACCTGGCCTGTAATGATGACGAATAAGTACTATACCGGGCTATGCGGGGGCACTCTGAGCTGGATTAAAACAATGTAATCCGCTCTTTGGAGAGAGTGGGAATAACCACAGAGGTGCCAGAAGTTAGGCAAATAAACACTAAACAGTGCCCATTTTTTGTGGAAATCTTTAGCAACACCCAGCACAATCACTTCTTCCTGCTTCTCTTCATAGACATTAGGGGGAAATGTTCATCCTGATGGCTTTATGAACAGCTAATATTGTCTGGCTACCCACTTCTAGGCTGTCATATTTTAATCTACAGCTTGTAAAAAAAAACAGAATAGCAATACAATATAAAGTAAATGGATATGTTGGGGAATTGTCTACAGTAGTGCCATGTCCACTGCCTCCAGTTTTGCCCCCAAATCTTGGTTACAGTATGTCTTATATATTACGTATTTATGAAATGTTTTGGTTTTTTAAACAAGTTACACGGCACCCTCTGTGAAGGAATGTAGAAATGCATCGTTTGGTTTATGGTTCAGTCAGGCTGAATGTGGCAAGGCTGCCAGGTGCCGCTGATGTCTCTTGACATCTCTTGACAAATCTCAGAGCAGTTTTCTACTTGATTGTTTTGTTGTTGCAGTTTGGTTTCTCAGTTTAAACTGCACTGAGTGAGAATATAGTTTTAACTTAGAAGTCAAATAATGTTATTTAAATGTATTTGAACCTATAACAGATCCTAGGTTTTATTGGTTATAGAGCAGCAATCGTCTTGCAAAGGAAGCCATTCATGTGTAAAGTAGTCCCTCATGTAGTAATGATGCATGAGATTAAGGGTTTATTTATTTATTGTAGCCAGCTGTCTGTGGTCAATGTCACATCAATCTGAGAGGACAGTCACAAATATATATTTTTTTGTAAAAACATGTATTAAATCATCCCAAGTATTATTTATAATATGAAATAGGCCAGTGTCAAATTAATTGTCTGTCTGTTATATAATTATTGTCTGATCTACAGTTGTTGAAATGCATTGATAAACAGATATCTACAACAAATTGGTAAAAAGAAAAACAAATAGGTATAATACTTTTGACAAAAGGGCTTACACAGCACTGCCTTCTTCAGGCTGAAATACATGACATTTGGCAAACATGCAATTCAAGAAAGAGATAAAACTAAAACACTTATTCGAGGGAATTTGTTGTGCAGCAGCTGCAATACAAAATCTCTAGCATATATATTGCCAATTCTTATTCAAGTCATATGTTTGATTCTTGTTTAAAAACTGAATTGTAGCCTTTCCATGATTATAGGTCACTTTTAAACCATCAAACCCAATGTATGCATGCCTTAAAACGATCAAAGAGCGGTTGTTCTTCCTGCACTGTAATTTAAAGACACTATAACATCTTGTATAACAAGATATAAAACAATGTGTTTTGAGCTGCTTTGCCTCAACACAAAATGTGAATCGGCCTCATTCTGCAAGCTTACACACACTCGATCACTCGCTCACTCTTCCAACCAACCGTCCATAAAACCATGATTGCATCAACCGAAGCACCGAGTGCAAACAAATAAAACCGAATAGCAATTTTAGGATTTGGGATATCTGGACATGTAACTGTAATGCTTTCCCAAAGTAATGTGGTGGAGCGTAGCCGGAACTGTCATAACGAAGCATGGAAGATTTATTGTTTACCTGGGCAACAACAGATGGATTTAAGTGGAGCAGGCTGCTTTGTTAAAGGTGTTGTGCCACCTCTCACTGGCGGGTAGAAAACAACACCACAAACTTTGGAACAAAACTTAAACTTGTGATTTCCCCAGGCTGATGTACTTTTCGGGCCTGCTGGGAATGTTTTGCAGATGTTGAGTGAAATTTGATTCAGGGTTCGGGGAGGCTGTGTTCTTATTTACAATCAATCTAGTATTACCATGTTAAAGGTGCAATCTATAATCTGAATATATAACAACCTCGCATCTTCTCAAATTGAAAACATTTAAAAAAACGACTGATGGCTGCTCAATCCCAAATACAGACAAACGCAAAACATGTTGGGGGAGGTTTTCTGTTCACGTTTAAGTGCAAATTGGTAAAATACATATTGCTGATATTAACAAATATATGTTTTATGTATAAGCCTCTGATTTAAATGTATAGATGGCACTCAACTAGAGAAAATAAAAATGTAAACATAGTGCTGCACTACATCCCCAGCAGCTTGGTGCACATACTGCATGCAGGCGCAGAATTTACACTTGAATTCAAAGTCAACAATTCACTTTAAGTCAAACACATTTCACATTTCTATAAAGTTATGTACAGATGTCTTTCAAATGTTAGAAAAGCAATCATTTTCAGGCAAACAAGGCCAAAGCAACGACTGTTCCAACAACAGCACGGCTGAGTCATCGACCCTCTTCAAAATCGGACCACACAGCTAAGCCAACCCCATTGTGTAAAATCCTACAGCTGGGGAAGCTTTTGACTACTTCCCCTGTGGTGCAATAATGCAGCACCGGCATGCATTACAGTCTGCTGCAGCTAACACTGCATGAAAAGGAGCTGCAATGCTTCCTGACCAAGCCATAAGTAGCTCAAAGCCAAACAAATTCTAAATGCAATGACTGGAGACCAAAGATGTGCCACCTTTTTGATTTTTTTCCAAAGGCCACTGCCCTCCATAAACCAGTCAGGGATGAAATACCCAGAGTGCTTGGCTTTAGCTTCCTCTGAGTATCGTATAGGAGTGTGTCGAGCTCAGTAGCAGCACTGTCTTTGGCAACACTTACCCTATATAAGGTGTTAACATCGATCCCACATGATGCACCTGCGTGTGGAACCTGCAGGGATTATTCAGTATAGTATATCATAGTTAGAGGCAGCGTCTCGAAGAGGAAACTCATTATAATTTGTCCCCGAAAGAATATGGAAAAAATGATAAATGAAGATAAAATGCACATATTCACTCTCAGTCTAAATCTGGCAACAACGCTGCTTTAGCTCAATGTTCCTGCTGTAATATGTAATTCATTTTATGCCATATTATCTGTTGTATTTCAGGTATGTTTCTTGCATTGAGCACTTAGATAAAATAGCAGCCGCATCCTATTCAAGAGGAAAATTCGTTTTTTTTGGTATTGAATTTATGAAGGTATAAAGGTATTATCCCCATTCCTATCGCGTTGACAGTGCAGACACATACAGCTATTCAATCAATGTTATTCGTCTGCTCATCTGACAGCTCTGTCTGAGTAAGAGTCTCCCACTGTGCTCCAAGG